GATGTTCCATTATATGGGTATGAAATGGTGGTGTTTGTGCCAAGTAGACGTTCATAGACAAAAGGCATAGAGAACTGAAATACAAGGGAAGAGGGAACAGTGGTTGTGTAGCAGTAATACACAGTAAAACCTCAGTCAGTCACCAGGGAAGAATTATATTTAGCATGTTTAAGTATATATACGTATAACTTGCTATTTCTGATGTGTTAAGGTATCCAAAGAAATTCAAGAATGCACTTTTTAATGACATAAAGGCATTAAAAGTATAGCATATACATTAGGTAATATTAGACTCTTTTTAAAATTAACATCCTCTTTTATGAAGCAGCCTGATAGGAATTGCTTAATCATTTTACTGAGAAATAGAGATCTGTATGTGCCTTCTAGTTTGATATGTTAGTAGTCCAAAGGTCATTCATATTCTTTGAAATTTAGAGTTACTTCCCCAGCACTATGTGGATTTAAAGTCTTACTTTTGACACTTCAAATGATCTTGTTTCTCACTAGATTTCAGGAACAGCAAATGTAGGAAGTAACTGTGAATTGCTGGTTCACTGTATACATTCAGTTTTGTTTTCTGAAGGACTGAACACCTAAAAATAGATTTCCAGTACAGCTTGGCACTGCAGAACAAATTAGGAATGTAAGACTGTCAAAGTTACAGTAACAATTAATTCATCTTGAAATTCTGCAGAAAATAAATAGCCAGTTTTGAAATTTAAACTGCAGAAGGTATTGTAAATTTTATCATTCCTGGGGAATTTGTTTCCTAGCATGACCTTACCACCAAATTTGTCTTTGCTTTGAGGAAATCTTTATACTGTTTTTAGTCATTAATTATTTGCACATGTGATTTATCTGAAGGTGTGATTTGCCTTTCTACATGAATTCTTCATTTAATATTACCCAGGCTGTTGAGAACTGGTAATTATTACCTGTATTACCTTTTTTCCAAAGTGATCATTGCCAGCAAATAGCACTGTCTTGTACACAGCTGTGTTGGTTCAGGAATGGGTTGTTGGTAACCTCAGGCTGAATGCAGAATAATCTGGGGTTGCATTTTGATTTAACACCAAGGTTATTGACCTCTTCTCATTCCTG